CGTTCTTGGCAATTCTGCCTCTGCCTCTGCCTCTACCTCTCGGCGCCGGTGCAGGCATCCATTCATTGTCGCCCGTCACGCTATCATCCGTCTCGTGCCCCTCGGTATCCGAGCCTTCGATATCTACGATCGGCTCCTTGCGTGGTCTACTCTTGAGTAGGTCAGCCATCATTTTCTTGTAGCAGGCGGGGCCCGCCATCCCTTTCCCCGTGGATGTTGACGGGGTGGCTCGGTCATCCACCTCCATTGGGGCGTAATCCGAGTCTTTGCTCGCACTCTCATTCTCCCTTGTGTTTGTAGGTTGAGAAAACATAATGGCAGTTTAAGAATCATCTGGTTCGCCCATCACGGGACCCCCACCGCAGTGGGGGATCTATCCCCAGTAGAATGTTTCCCTAATTATGGGCCGGGAAGCGGAGAGGCCGCTTGTCGGGGAGCCACCCCTATCCCGACCAGTGACTCTATCAAAAAATCCCTGGAGACGGCCAGGCCCACCATGACGTAAGAGGCTTATACTCACCCCCGGGTTGGAACGCGCACCGATCCGATCGGCCGCTCACCCCGCCCCAGGGCTAGAGTTTGCCGAGATAAATTCCCTCCCGGCATGGGTATGAGGGGGCGGTGGCTAATCGGCCCCTCCATACACGCGCCCGGCATACTGGCTTCAACTCCCGGATAGGCTCCAGTCAGACGAGCGGGAGCGGTTTTCCCACGTTAAACTTGCCGTTTCCTGTGGTTTTTGCCGGAATACTCCGGACTTACGCACCCACGTAGTCCACGGCAGAGGTCAGGTACAGACGTCACCGCTCGTCCCCGGTCGGGGGGTTTACTACTCCCCCCTTGGTTAGTCTCCGGGAAATATCCGCCAGCAGCCAACCACGTCCCAGGCACACACACATGTACACGACCAGCCCTCCGCCTTCCACGACCGGCCCCGTACGCCAGACCGCATGCCCCAGCAGCGGGACGTCGGCCCCAGACGCAGGAACCAGCCGCTTCGACGCGGAGGACCGGGTGTTGGCCGGCAGGCTTGCCGACCAACCCCTCAGACCCCGAGGCCCTGCCTAGGAATACGTCCCAGCGGCCCCCGGGGTCTTCCGGGAGACCGGACCCTACCTCGGAAACGTCCGAGTGGCCCCGATCCCCCGTCCTTGCCGGGCCAACCGGGCGACGCGGGTCTAAGACCCGACGTGTACCCGGGGCCCCGCCCCCTCCCGGAGGGGCCGGATTACATCCGACCCAACCGCGAGGGAACTTTCCCCTCTTCCCCCCTGCCCCCACTCCCTCGCCCCCCCCTTATGCC